ATCACTCTATACGCTGGCGCTTCCCCGTGAGCCTGGCAATCTGAGCCTTCAACCTCTGGTTTTCTTCCGCATATCTGGTGGCAACCTCCTTCCAATCATCTAAATCAGGAAGTGAGTAATCAACACCTAATTGAGGCTTAGGAGAAAATAAATCCCCTTGCCTCTCCATAGACTCTACCGCTCGACTCTCAAGGATCTCAATCAAGTCATCTTTCTCCTTCAAGTCTGCTTTATAGGAACTCTCTAAAGTTCGGAACTTGTTCTTCCAAGCATCCTTTTCCTGTTGCATCCTAATCAAACAAGTTGCAACTCTTATAGATCATCTAATAAGGGAGGAGTGGTCTTCATAAATAGATCAGGCATGGGTGTCTCCCAGGTATACGACATCTTTAACTGAATAGCTCTCGCTCGGACTCCCTGAAGATATGGCTCCAAAGAAACAACACCCCTAGGTCCCAAATCCTTCCTACTCTTCTTATGAATGTGAGGCCAGGCCTTCGTAATCTGATCTCTAGCTTCCCTATGGTCTTCTCCTTCCTTCAGAAAGAAACTACTCACTATTCAGTTTATCCCTCATCGGATAACCAAGTTGTCGTCGTGCAAGAACAGGGTTATAGTTAATTCCTCCCTTTGTACCAAGAAAAGGTACATTGGGGAAACTACCAAAACTGTCTATAATCTCTATATCCTAGTAAGCTCGATGACACCAATCAATATCCGAGTGAGTAAGTGCCATGATCTTAGGATCCCAATGGGGTTCCTTCTTGACATCCTAAAAAGCATCAGACTGAGGCATATGAGAGATAAACCACCGGTACAACAGAGGCGTGCAACAAATAATCATCCCCCCATGATAAGAATTTTGAAGATGAATAGAGTAATAAGCATCACCCAACAATGTAGGAACTGGGTTTCCAATCATGAAGATCCTGATAGCATTAATGTCAACAAACTTGTCCACATTAGGAAATAAAAACAACTCGTAAGCAAGTAGAGCAAAGATGGCCTTAAAAGCAATTGTACTCTTCATTCTGGAAAAGTAACGAGATTTCTCCAATAAGAACTGAGCTGGTAATCCTCTAATTCCTCCTTTAGTAGTCATATGGGCTTCCACCTCAAATTTCCCCAGATGAATCAAAGCAGCAATCTCATGTGGTTTTGGCTTACCCTCCAAACCAGTAAAAGGAACACGATCAGTAACAGGTAAATCCAATAGATAAGAATACTCCTCTAGTGTGGGCATCAACTGATAGTCGGGAAAAGTAAAGCAATGATACATCAGATTATAGAACTGGACCAAGGTCGAGAGAATACCCTCCTTCATCTTCAACTTCATGAGAGAAATAATGGATCCATACTTCTTCCAAAAGTCCGCAGAACACTCGATCTCGAGAATTAGACTGATCAACTCATCTACCTTGGGATCCTTGAAACTGTATTTCCCGGTCTTTCTCTTTCCAGAATCCATGGTTAGAAAGTACCTGAGATATTCACATGGTCAACCTTTAAATCCCTTGAAATATGGTTTCTTCAAAAGATGCTTATGAGTGCATGGATGCATGATGCAACAATCACACACAAGATCACACATATAGGGTTCATAGGTTCAACGTCACGAGCATGAGGTCGAAGGTACTACCCATAGGGTGTCGGTCTATAATTTATCACCTGTCGAACAAGGTTCTAGAGGTTCCCAGAGTCTACGTCCTTCCTTCGGATATTACCAACTTCCCGATTAACTCGGTAATTAGTAATATTCTCAAGAAAGACTCGTCCAAGCGTAGTATCGCGTGACAACTATTTCTGGATTACTCTGTCATAGCTTCCACACTACACCTAAAAGGCCAAGATGGATCAAACTGAGCTTTCTTATGATCAGAAAATTGTTGATTCTGTTGACAAACTGGAGCAACAAGGGGTAAATTGAACACATGGATGACAGAAGGAACACGCTGATTATGATGCTGATTGTTTCTTCTTCTGGTTCTCTTCTTAGAAAAATTATTATCAAACTTTTTCACACCACTAGTTGTTCCACTGTCTTCAGATGAACATTCCTTTTGGACATCCTCTTCTAGAAACACTCCCACATTAGCCTTTTCTGGGAACTCACCGGGTGCACTGACTATCACCTTCTCATGAAAAAATGATTTCAGAGTTTCTGTGAAGACTTTTGCCATCTCTTCTTCCTTCCTAGAAGGATTGACTTGGGAGGCAACCAAAGTTTTAACCAAAGCAGTTAGATATTCCATATCAGCCTTCAAAGTAGTTACTTCTTTGCGGATTTCAAAGATCTCTTGCTTAATGCTTTCCATCTTCCCTTAGAACGAGTGTTGTACTGATGAGGCAACTTGCTTCAAGCGACCAAAGGACCTTGGGTAAGACTTCTGTGGAACTCATGAAATGCATAATTAAATGTAACATGGTGCATGACATGCAATACAAATGTCATATTCTTATTTCCAAAAGTTCATACACTTTGATTCCAGTTATTAAGCCACAATGCTATTATATATATTCTTTTTTTCATGTATTTATTATATATATTTTTTTAAGTTTATTTTTTGTCTTAACAATTGGAATCAAGGAAGTAACATTTGGAAATACAAAAAAGAAACATGTATGCTGATAATTATATTAACATGCTATGTGTGCAAACATATGGGATCAAAGCTTCTGCGGTACTGGATAATTGTTGAACTGATAACAAAACCACTTTCATACGTAATAAGATCAAAGGTCCGGACTAATTCAGAATACCAAGGATCAAAGTCATCAGCATAATCAGAGTCACCAACAAAACATGTATAGTCACCATCTGTACCTGTAAAGATCATTCCCTTCCCACTCACGGGTAATGACTAGGTCATGGTAAGGTCAATGGTAACTCAGAATCGAGGGTACTCTTTAAAAACTATCGCCATATCACCTACGTCAAAATGATAGCCCCTCATTTGTACCTCATCTGAGCGTGGACGACATGGCAGCATAGTGAAATCTAAGTCAACTAGCCGTTCATGTTCCACTCTATTCCTAATGTTCCTGTGGTTTTCACTTGGCCTGGGTATTGGGCCTTTTACCTCATAGTAACATCCCACCCATCAAGAAACAGAGAAACCAACACAACAACAATATAGCAAATAACAATGAAGATGCAATGCAAACATATGCTCAAACATATACAAATTAATAATCCATAAAATCATAATGATAAACACCCTAAGAAAATAAAATCGGGAGCTAGGAGTGACTCACGGGATGGACGAGCAATTGGTTGACATTTTCCCCAGTGAAGTCGCCATTTTTCTGTAGCTGTAAAATCAATGAAGTCGCCACCGAGTATTTATTTATCCCATATAAGGGAAAGAAAGATCATTGAAGAAAAACCTAAAGAGGGAAATCAAGGTCTTGCGACCGAGAGATTGGGTAAGGGAGTCGATTACGCGAGGGGAAGGTATTAGCACCCCACACGTCCATAGTACTCTACGGGATCCACTCTCGTTATTCTAATCAAAGGGTGTGTTTAATCTAATGCTTAAGGGTTATGAAATAAGAGAGAATGCATGCAAAGAGAAAAGAAAGAATGTAGGGAAAATAAAGTTGTACTCTCTTGGGCCCTACCCCAATGCTTACGTATCCTTTTTGAGGAATCAGAGCTACCGTAGTTCGGCTCATATATTTTGTTTGTTTGTATTTTTTAAATGAACAATGTTGCATTTGATCATTCCACCGCTGCTCGACCTTTGGAGACTTACGACCTGTAGTGGAAAGGAGCTAACATGCTCTTAGAAGAGAAAATCCGAATGGCGAAAAGAAATGGATTGGTTGGTATTTTTTTTATTATGAAAGGAATTTTTGTATGATTAGCATTTTTTATATATTTTCCAAGAAAAAGAAGTTTTAGTTTTAAGTGCAGTTATGCAAAAAACGAGAAGAAAACATTTAAGAGAGACTAACTTATCTCTAACCTAATGTTATCATACAATGAGGGATCCTACCTAAGTTAGAATGCCAAAGAAAGTCTAACAAAGCTGCCCTATAGGGAACATACACTGAGAGCGAAGTCGTGATCTCAATTTCTTAATTGAGTGACTCATCAATCAACAAGAAATAAAGGAAAGCGATAAAATCCTATAGGGAGCATGCACTGAGAGTGAAGTCATGATCTCAATTTCTAAATTGAGTGACTCATCGATCAACAAGAAAGAAAACAAACACAAGCACAACACATATAAAAAATGAAGTGCGAAATACCTGCTACAGGTCTTTAAACAGCGACTTCGAGCACATGCTCTTCATTTCCTACTTCTCATGATATCTAAAAAATCGATAAATGCGGAAATATAACTTGGAAGCAATGTAATACCAAACGAACAATGTCCGCAAAAAGTGCAACCAAAGTAAAGAAATCCGAGATACTTCGCGCGAGCTGGCATCAACAAGCAAACAGTCAGGGTTCGAATATTTGGAATAAGTGTTTCAACTTCGTCAAAAAATAAATCATAATCGGAATCCAAAACACATCCGCATATCAAATAATGAACCTGCATATGACTCAATCCAACAAGCAAAGGTGAATCGTAAATCTCAAGTAGCAAAAATGATTATCAAACATAAACAATAATAGAAAATTCTAACCAAAATTCTAAAAATAAATCCTAGAAAAATACTATTATATTCCCTAAAAAACAATTAACAAATTTTTTATTGTTTTCATTTTTTTGTTAACTGAATTTAAAGAAAAGAAGAATTTTTTTATAGCAAAATCTAAAAATTAATCATAAAATAGAGAGGTGAGGAATAAGATGGTGTATTGCAGCAATCCAGGAGTATGGTGCAGTAAACTTTAGGCGTATAGGCCCAACCCAAGGAAAAGTCCATCTTAGCTTTTGTTATATGCCAAAAAACACACACCAAAGAACCCGGATGGGCCTGAGAGATCCATGGACTTGATCCAAATCCACCACTAATTCCAAATCCACTTTTCCTTCAGATTTTGTTCAGCTTCTCAATGATGTCGTTTTGACAATTAGGGATAGGGTTGAAACATAGCGACGATTGTGCTTCTTCGCCCAAAATCCCTCCTCTCTCTTTCTCGGTGCCGCACGAGATTCTTTTCTCATTTTCTCTAGTGAAGCGCGTCGCGGCCAACACCAATTACCATCATCACCTCCATTGCAACGTCCTTTCCTTCTTTCTCCCAATCCTCCACCTCGAATCAGTGTAAGGCCAATACAAGAGCTTTGATCGAAGCCAAAATCAGAACCACTAATCAACTTGTCTAGCCACGGTATCGAAAGATCGAAGAAACACATACGCGAGACGAGCATCGTCTAGAAAGAGTCAACAAAACGAAGCATCACTTCAAGAAATTCAGAGAGCTTACCGATCGGAGATCGTCCGAAACGTTTTTTGACCGTATCGAAATAAAGCATAAACCCAGAGATTCAACCAATATTCAAGGTAATGTTTGATTCAGAACTTCTTTCTTCTGCTTCTGTTTTCTTCTTCGCGTTTGTGAGATTCTGAATTTTTGTCTCTGCGTTTTTGTTGATTGCTATTGTTGTGCGTGTGTTGCAGATGCGATGATGAAGATGCGTGTTTTTCGAAGCAGTTACAATGAAGCTGCAGCTTGAGGAATGAAGGTGATTGTATTACAACTTGATGAGGATTCAATGAAGATGAAGATTCAGTTGCGTTTATGGTCTGAAAGAATCAATGAGGATGATGATGTATTGATGGAGAAGATGATTGAAGGTTGAGAGAGAGATGAAGGTTCTGGAGGTTTTGTTAATTGCAGAAGATGAAGATAAAGGTGAAGATTGAAGTGAATCGATGTGAGGAAGATGAAGATGGAGAATCAAGAAGGAGCCATCGATCCAGAAGGTTTTTACCTTCTTACCGAATATGAAGAATGAAAAATATGCTCCACAAAGGTGAGGTTCCCCTTTTTCTTTTCTGTGACCTCCTCCTTCTGTTATCAATGAATCCTCTCTTATCCCATTCCTCTCGCTCACTCCAGTTTCTGTTGTCTTTTCGTTAGGAAGTCGGTTACCAGTTTGTTATAGTTGGTTATGGCAGTTAGAGAGTTGGTTAGGAGTGAATTGATTTGAACCCTTGGATCTAGATTTCTGTTAGCGAATATGAGGGTATAGATTAGGCGGTTAGAGAGGTTTAGAAATCTGATTACATGCTATATCTTGAAGTAAACCTTCCTTCCCCTTACATGATGGTAGAGACTTCCGGAATTCCACCATCTTCTTGCCTTCAGGAGATTCCTGCCAAGATCTTTGCATATTACGCATCCTCAAACTCCTCTTCTGGAGAACCTTTTCCATAACAGACATAACAGACTCCTCCACAGAAGAATCGGTATTTTCATTCATGTCTATATCTTTAACCTGATTGGTAGAATTAACACTATCCAAACAGTCAGTAGTCTTTTCAGAATTTAACTGTAGCCTATCAAGGTACTCCTGCACTAAACCCTTTAAGCCCTGTGTTCTCCATATTGAATAGCCTGCATGGAACATCCCTTTATAATAGTCATATATTTCTGCACCAAGTTTTATTTCAATGCCATTCTTAATTGCAGTAGAAGTCCAGGATGTAATTGTGCCTTGAACTTGCATGCGCTGCTTTATCACTTCACATGGAACATACACTACAGAACCAAGTGTATCTCCAACAACTCCAATAATGAAATGTGCCTAATGGCCCTCAAGGCTAGGATGTGAATCCTCAATCCACTTTTTAGTTGACTCTATGACACCAAAATATGTTGCACCGGTCGCAAGAGACCCAGTAACACCAGGTAGTACACCCCTATAATAGCCTTTTAATCCATCAACCTTCCAGACAGACCGCACCATCTGCAATATGCTTTTCTGGTTCTCAACACCATTTAGAATAGTTTGACTTTATATTCGTGTTTTGATGGTATCTACAGGATGCATCATTCCTTCCCTAAAAGCACCTGCAACTGCTCCCCATACAAATTCCCTCCATACGAAGAAACGGTCATGAGAAACGTTCTTGGAAACTTGTGATTTACTGGAAGAAGAGCTTTGAGCTGCCATTGATTGAATGATCAAGAAACAACAAGTTCTTCTGGTTTCTGTTAACAGTTTTGGACATGTTTTTGAATTATCTAGTTTCGGCAGCATGAACTATTTCAAAGTATTTTTATATTTTTTGGTAGCGAAACTAATCTGGTTTTATATATTTGATTAATTGGCAGGCCTAGTCTTGAACACGGGAACAAACGGTTTTTTAGAAGCTTGAAGAGGCAATTTTAAAGATACAAAATTATGGAGTTATGGTAAAGGATTTGAAGGATATTGAAACGTGAAGGTTTTGGATAGAATATTAGGTTAGAGCATTAAGTTTCTTGGTAGGTTTTATGTAAATATGTAGGGATGGTGATGAAGTGTAAAATCACATGTATTGAAATGTAACCTTGGAATTTTGTAATGTTTGGAAGAATCCCTGATAATTCCCTCCAGTATTCACAATATTACCTTCCAAATTGCCTTTGTAATCAACCCTTGACCAAACATGAATTTAAGAACCTTTGATGTCATCTAAACACATCTAGGAATTTTGGATGAATTGACACTGTAGCTAATTGGATGATGTTTTTAAAATCAAAACTTGAATTTAAATGATATCTCTCTTGAAATAATCCAAGTAAAAACTCCATGATCAAAATTCAAATTCCTTGAAAGAATTCCATAGCAAATGACTTATATCATAAGCCATGAAACAAGCCCAATCTTTAATTGATGACCATGAACCAAATGGTCCCTAATATCACCCTCTGTCGTTTATGAGGGAATGGATCCAATACCTTGATCCCCAATAATCTTGTGTGGCAAAACATAAGAGAACCAACCCGACTTAATCTTAATGAATTCATAATGCCATCCTTATATCATGCTTGGTTATCCAATGAACACCCATTGAAAACGTTGATAAACCCAAGTATGATAGGATATAAACCCTAGTCTTCCTTTGAATGGGAGGGATCCCCTTGAAGCCACAAAAATCCTAATTCCACACCTTCACACGCCATATAATTACTCTTTAATCAACAAAATATCAGCTGAAAATCCAGAACCGCACTTAATCATTCGGCAAGTCTCACCACAAGAAGAGAAACATGGTTCAATCTTCTAGACTTCTTGAAAAGAAATGAATCATAGAGAAAATAATAAAAGGGAGGATCTACATGATTGATGAAATTGCAATAAAGAACATATGGTGATCCTTGTAGCCTTAAAGAGAAAAACCTAGCACGATGAACTTCTGTTGAAGATCTAATACCCAGTTCCGGTATAGCATAGAAAAAACGTAATCCTCTGGCTGAGTTAAACCCTAATGCCCTTATTCCTTGAAAGAACCTTGAATGAAGAAAAATTTGTATCTTGAGGAAATCTGATAGCGAAGACATCTATGCTGTTTGAGATCCAAAACCCTAATCTCATGCTGAGAAAAATGAGAGCGCCAGCTGAATCAACTTTGAGTAAGATAGCAAACTTCAATCAGAGAGAGAAACTCTAATGCCAAAGCGCTTCAATCTTATAACCATGAGACCAATGCTATGAAACGTGCAAAGTATGATGAGGGATCTTAGGGGGAAAAATTGGGGTACAACAGCTGCCCTTATTTAAGTGTATTCTATCTGGAGATACGAAGATTAAAATCTTCGTTTCGACGCGATTGAAGATACTTAAATATAAAACAAGCCCTATTTTTGGCCCTAAGATACCATGCAATGCTTATGATTATGGATATAAACTTCATGCAAATGGGCAAGACACACATTGGAGAAGCAAAAGTAGAAACTACAAATCAACCAAAAGAATTCAATCAGGACTCTAAATCTCTGGAGAACAACACGACTCCTGGGATAGAAATTTGAATCTATTGGAGATAAATCGACTCCGCTGGGGAAAAGAAAACTCAACTTCACTGGGGTAAGATCCAGAGAGGAGAAAAAATAACATAAAATTCAAAACTGAGGGGAAAATAATGGATGACAACGATTAACCGATAGCTGTGAACTATCCACTCATAGAGGAGATAGTAAAAAGAGAGTACCTTCAACACAGGGGATCGACAATCGCTAATCAGAAAAGATCAATCTTACCAAAGAATGGTAATGGACTACCCACTCAAGAATGAAGGTAAAAAAAAACAAACATAGGACAATACTGGCTTTTATTGAAGGTAAAGAAACAGAAGATACACCGACGTTTACTGAAGGTGGAGAAAAGAGAATTCACCAGCTTTTACTGAAGGTGACGTCTCAAAGAGAAATAATGAACTTCCCAAAATCCTGGCATTCTTCCTAGAATGAGTAAAAATACAAGCTATCTCAAATAAAGAGACTACCACTTGTAAAGATTTCACAACAAACTTCTCTTGCGAAACTTCCTCGAAGAGATGCCATTTGATGGAAAATTGGATACACTTTCCCTCGATCCTGACTATAAGCCACGAACTAGTCTCAGTTTCTTCTTTAACCAAGATATATCACCTGGAGAAGGGTAAAAACACAAGCTATCTCAAATAAAGAGACTACCACTTGTAAGATTTCACAACAAACTTCTCTTGCAAAACTTCCTCGAAGAGATGCCATTTGATGGAGAATCGGATAAACTTCCCCTCGATCATGACTATAAGCCATGAACTGGTCTCATTTTCTTCTTTAACCAAGATATTTCACCTGGAAAGGGTAAAACACAAGCTATCTCAAATAAATAGACTACCACTTGTAAAGATTTCACAACAAACTTCTCTTGTGAAACTTCCTCGAAGAGATGCCATTTGATGGAAAATCGGATAAACTTCCCCTCGATCCTGAATATAAGCCACGAACTAGTCTCCGTTTCTTCTTTAACCAAGATATTTCACCCGGAAAGGGTAAAAACACAAGCTCTCTCAAACAAAGAGACTACCACTTCTAAGATTTCACAACATACTTCTCTTACGAAACTTCCTCGAAGAGATGCCATTTGATGGAGAATCAGATAAACTTCCCATCGATCCTGACTATAAGCCACGAACTGGTCTCAATTTCTTCTTTAACCAAGATATTTAACCTGGAAAGGGTAAAAACACAAGCTATCTCAAATAAAGAGACTGCCACTTGTAAGATTTCACAACAAACTTCTCTTGCGAAATTTCCTCGAAGAGATGCCATTTGATGGAGAATCAGATATACCTCCCCTCGATCATGACTATACGCCACGAACTGGTCTCAGTTTCTTCTTTAACCAAGATATTTCACCTGGAAAGGGTAAAAATACAAGCTATCTTAAATAAAGAGACTGCCACTTGTAAGATTTCACAACAAACTTCTCTTGCGAAACTTCCTCGAAGAGATGCCATTTGATGGGGAATCAGTTAAACTTCCCCTCGATCCTGACTATAAGCCATGAGCTGGTCTCAGTTTCTTCTTTAACTAAGATGTTTCACCTGTAAAGGGAAAAAACATAATCTATCTTAAATAAAGAGAATGCCACTTGTAAGATTTCACAACAAACTTCTCTTGTGAAACTTCCTCGAAGAGATGCCATTTGATGGAGAATCGGACAAACTTCCCCTTAATCCTGACCATAAGCCACAAACTGGTCTCAATCTCTTCTTTAACCAAGATGTTTCACCTGGAAAGGGTAAAAATACAAGCTATCTCAAATAAAGAGACTACTACTTGTAAGATTTCACAACAAACTTCTCTTGTGAAACTTCCTCAAAGAGATGCCATTTGATGGAGAATCGGATAAACTTCCCCTCGATCCTGACTATACGCCACGAACTTGTCTAAATTTCTTATTTAACCAAGATATTTCACATGTAATGGGTAAAAACACAAGCTATCTCAAATAAAGAGACTACCAATTGTAAGATTTCACAACCAACTTCTCTTGCGAAACTTCCTCGAAGATATGCCATTTGAGGGAGAATCAGATAAACTTCCCCTCGATCCTAACTAAAAGCCACAAACTGGTCCCAGTTTCTTGTTTAACCAAGATATTTCACCTGGAAAAGGTAAAAACACAAGCTATCTCAAATAAAGAGACTACCACTTGTAAGATTTCACAACAAACTTCTCTTGCAAAACATCCTCGAAGAGATGCCATTTGAAGGAGAATTAGATAAACTTCCCCTCGATCCTGACTATAAGCCACGAACTGGTCTCGGTTTCTTCTTTAACCAAGATATTTCACCTGGAAAGCGTAAAAACACAAGCTATCTTAAATAAAGAGACTACCACTTGTAATATTTCATAACAAACTTCTCTTGCGAAACTTCCTCGAAGAGATGCCATTTGATGAAGAATCAGATAAACTTCCCCTCGATCCTGACTATAAGCCACGAACTGGTCCCAGTTTCTTCTTTAACCAAGATATTTCACCTGGAAAGGGTAAAAACACAAGATATCTAAAATAAAGAGACTATCACTTGTAAGATTTCACAATAAATTTTTCTTGCAAAACTTCCTCGAAGAGATGCCATTTGATGGAGAATCGAATAAACTTCCCCTCGATCCTGACTATAAGCCACAAACTGGTCTCAGTTTCTTCTTTAACCAAGATATTTGACCTGGAAAGGGTAAAAACACAAGCTATCTCAAATAAAGAGACTACCATTTGTAAGATTTCACAACAAACTTCTCTTGCGAAATTTTCTCGAAGAGATGCGATTTAATGGAGAATCGGATAAAATTCCCCTCGATCCTGACTATAAGCCATGAACTGGTGTCAGTTTCTTCTTTAACCATGATATTTGACCTGGAAAGGGTAAAAACACAAGCTATATCAAATAAAGAGACTACCACTTATAAGATTTCACAACAAACTTCTCTTGCGAAACTTTCTCGAAGAGATGCCATTTGATGGAGAATCGGATAAACTTCCCCTCGATCCTGACTATAAGCCATGAACTGGTCCCAGTTTCTTCTTTAACCAAGATATTTCACCTGGAAAGGGTAAAAACACAAGCTATCTCAAATAAATAGACTACCACTTGTAAGATTTCACAACAAACTTCTCTTGCGAAACATCCTCGAAGA